AGGATAGTGCACAACAACAAAACACTTTTATCACGGCAACTGGTTTGATACATTCACCTCTGACGGTAAATAATGTACTTACATTCAGTAATCTTGCTCTGATTTGTCCTCCTGAGGGTCCCAGAGATAAAATGAAGCATAGTTTTGTTTGATAAAATCCATTTTTATATCCTAAAACGATCCATGTTGTATGTCACACCAGCCTTCGCTTTGGCTCCCCCTCCTGTCCAGCTCAGGCGTTCGGCGTCGCTGACCTTCTATCTGCTGCCGAACCTGCTGCTGGCAAACGCCCTTCACTCATCAACCCCGGACTTGACTCGTCATCATTACACACACCTGGTTCCAATCCCCACTCTATAACTGTATATATACTCCCTCTGTCATTTGTCTTTGTCGGTCATTGTATATGTTCCTTGTTTTCCTGAGAGGAATCTCTCCTACTATTTCCTGAGTACTTTTTATTTTGCACTGTGGGTTTCGTCCCGCTTTAAACTATGGTGCTTTAATAAATTCAGTAGTTCTAAACCCAGGACTGCCTCCTGCCGACTCCTTTCTACACTTGTGACAGTATACACCGTTTTTCTATATATATTTTTTAAATAAAATCAAATTGTATTTGTCAAATTCGCCGAATACAACAGGTGTAGACCTTACCGTGAAATGCTTACTTACAAGCCCTTAACCAACAATGCAGTTCCAGAAATAGAGTTAAGAAAATATTTACTAAATAAACAAAAGTATAAAATAAAAAGTAACAATAAAATAGCAATAACGAGGCTATATACAGGGGGTACCAGTACCGAGTCAATGTGCGGGGGTACAGGCTAGTCGAGGTAGTTTGTACATCTAGGTTGGGGTAAAGTGACTATGCATAGATAATAAACAGTGAGTAGCAGCAGTGTAAAAACCAAGGGGGGGGGGGGGGGGGTCAATGTAAATTGTCCGGTTGGACATTTGATTAATTGTTCAGCAGTCTTATAGCTTCTGGGTAGAAGCTGTTAAGGATCCTTTTGGATCTAGGCGCTCCGGTACCGCTTGCCGTGCGGAAGCAGAGAGAACAGTCTATGACTTGGGTGATTGGAGTCTTTGACAATTATTTGAGTCTTCCTCTGACACCGCCTAGTATATAGGTCCTGGATGGCAGGAAGCTTGGCCCCAGTGATGTATTGGGCCGTACGCACTACCCTCTGTAGTGCCTTACGGTTGGATGCCGAGCAGTTGCCATACCAGGCAGTGATGCAACCGGTCAGGATGCTCTCGATGGTGCAGCTGTATAACTTTTTGAGGATCTGGGGAACCATGCCAAATCTTTTCAGTCTCCTGAGGGGTAAAAGGTGTTGTCATGCCCTCTTCACGACTGTCTTGGTGTGTTTGGACCATGATAGTTTGTTGGTGATGTGGACACCAAGGAACTTGAGACACGCTCCACTACAGCCCCGTCGATGTTAATGGGGGCCTGTTCGGCCCTCCTTTTCCTGTAGTCCATGATCATCTCCTTTGTCTTGCTCACATTGAGGGAGAGGTTGTTGTCCTGGCACCACACTGCCAGGTCTCTGACCTCCTCCCTATAGGCTGTCTCATCGTTGTCGGTGATCAGGCCTACTACTGTTGTGTCGTCAGCAACCTTAATGATGGTGTTGGAGTCGTGCTTGGCCACACAGTCGTGGGTAAACAGGGAGTACAGGAGGGGACTAAGCACACACCCCTGAGGGGCCCCGGTGTTGAGGATCAGCGTGGCAGATGTGTTGTTGCCTACCCTTACCACCTGGGGGTGGCCCATCAGGAAGTCCAGGATCCAGTTGCAGAGGGAGGTGTTTAGTCCCAGGGTCCTTAGCTTAGTGATGAGCTTTGTGGGCACTGTGGTGTTGAACGCTGAGCTGTAGTCAATGAACAGCATTCTCACATAGGCGTTCCTTTTGTCCAGGTGGAAAAGGGCAGTGTGGAGTGCAATTGAGATTGCGTCATCTGTGGATCTGTTGGGGCGGTATGCGAATTGGAGTGGGTCTAGAGTTTCCGGGATGATGGTGTTGATGTGAGCCATGACCAGCCTTTGAAAGCACTTCATGGCTACAGATGTGAGTGCTACTTATCATGAGGTACTCTACCTCAGGCGAGCAATACCTCGAGACTTCTTTAATATTAGACATTGAGCACCAGCTGTTATTGACAAATAGAAACACACCCCCGCCCCTCGTCTTACCAGACGAAGCTGGAAAACCCAGCCAGCTCTATATTATCCGTGTCGTCGTGCAGCCACGACTCAGTGAAACATAAGATATTACAGTTTTTAATGTCCCGTTGGTAGGATAGTCTCGACCGTAGATCATCGAGTTTGTTTTCTAGTGATTGCATGTTGGCCAATAGAACCGATGGTAATTGCGATTTATTCACTTGCCTACGAATCCTAACAAGGCACCCCGACCTTCTCCCTCTGTATCTCTGCCTTTTCTTCATGCAAATGACAGGGATTTAGGCCTGCTCTCCGGAGAGCAGTATATCCTTCGCGTCGGACTCATTAAAGAAAACATCTTTGTCCAGTTCGAGGTGAGTAATCACTGTTCTGATGTCCAGAAGCTATTTTCGGTCAAAAGAGACGGTAGTGGCAACGTTATGTACAAAATTTAAAAGTTACAAATAATGCGAAAAAACAAACAAAATAGCACAGTTGGTTAGGAGCCCGTAAAACGGTAGCCATCCCCACCGGCACAATTTTTGCATGAATTCCGACTCTTTCAACTTGCAACAAAAACAATTTATGAAATGTTATCGGCAAAACGTTGTTCATCCCAGTCAGGTTCTGTTTCTGTGCAATCCTCAGACACTCTAGAAGGCTACCAAACTTGTTTCATCATTCTACATTACCTATTGGCTACACAACACGTAAATTAGCCCATGAAGGTTAGCCATCATTACGCACCAACGAGAAGAGTGGTGTTCACTTGATTGACAGTGTCTTGGTCCAATCGTTTTGAAACATAGCTAGCTAGATAGCCAATGAGCTGGGCTTTCCAGCAGTATGTGAACACCCTTTGTACGACAAACAGCCATAATGCTAGAGCTGTGCGCAACAGGTTCATTCTCTTCTACAAACTTGTCTCAAATCTGAAAAAGTAAAACATGGCTACTGAGAGTGGAAAAGCTCAATTGAAGTCCAAGTATACAAATTTGGATGAGATTATTGCAGAAATTGACCAGGAGAGTGACACAGAATGAATGGATGAGGACTGGGAACTCGTATTCCCGAGTGGCGCAGTGTATTCCAAAGTGGCGCAGTGGTCTAAGGCACTGCATCGCGGTGCTAGCTGTGCCACTAGAGATCCTGGTTCGAGTCCAGGCTCTGTCGCAGCCGGCCGTGACCGGGAGACCCATGGGCGGTGCACAATTGGTCCAGCGTTGTCCAAGGTAGGGGAGGGTTTGGCCGGCAGGGTTGTGGGTTTGTTTCCCACGGGGAGCCAGTATAAAAAAATAATAAAAATAAATAAACCTGTATGCATTCACTAACTGTAAGTCGCTCTGGATAAGAGCGTCTGCTAAATGACTAAAATGTAAAATGACTCTGTGAGTGAGCACAGTTTTGATTCCAGCATGGAATAAATGTTTTTGGAAGAAAAATATCCACTTTTAGATCAGTAAGGAAAATTCGTTTTTGCTTCTCATGCTAATGCAGTTGTTTAAATGGCTGCATATTCATTTGAGGTATTTGATTTGATTTCTCTCTCTCTATATATATAGGCCTGAGGCATACAATGTCTTAGCATGGTCTATGTGTATGTTATGTTGGCTATGACATGCTGTGTGTCACGATCGTCTAGTAGCGAAGTAGACCAAGGCGCAGCGTGTGAAAGAAACATGACTTTAATTAGTTGAAGCACAAGCACAAAACAAAACACGATCGTGAAGTCCACAGTAACACTGACTGAACACGGAACAAAAACCCACAAACACAAGGTGAAAACAGACAGTTTAAATATGGCTCCCAATCAGAGACAACGAGCCAACAGCTGACACTCGTTACCTCTGATTGGGAGTCACTCATCCAAACAAAGAAATACAACCACATAGAACAACCCAACCAAACAGAACACCACGAAACGAACACACCCTGGCTCAACATACAAAGTCCCGGAGCCAGAGCGTGACAGTACCCCCCCCTAAAGGCGCGGACTGCGACCGCGCCTCAAAACCCCAAACAGGGGAGGGCTGGGTGGGCATTTCTCCTCGGAGGCGGCTCCGGCTCCGGGCTTGACCACCACCCTTCCACAATCCCCCCGTAGCGCCCCCGGTCCGGTCTGACCCCGCTGGCTGGATCTGGACCGGACATAGACGGAGCGGATTGCTCAAACTCCGTAGTGGAGTAGCTGACCTGATCAAGCACCGGACTGACGACGCGCACCCCTGGCTTGGCGCGTGAGGCAGGAACGGACCGGACCTGGCTGACGATACGCACCCTTGGCTTGGTGCGTGGAGCCGGAACGGACCTCACCAGGCTGACGACTCGCATCCTTGGCTTGGTGCGAGTAGCAGGAATGGGCTGGATCAGGCTGACGACTCGCACCCTTGGCTTGGTGCGAGTAGCAGGAACGAGCTGGACCAGGCCGACGACGCACCCCGTAGGCTTGGTGCGTGGAGCAGGAACAGGCCGGGCTGGGCTGGCGACGCACACCGTAGGCTTAGTGCGTGGAGCAGGAACAGGCCGGACAGGGCTGGCGACGCACACCGTAGGTTTGGTGCGTGGAGCAGGGACAGGCCGGGCCGGGCTGACGACGCACCCCGTAGGCTTGGTGCGTGGAGCAGGAACAGGCCGGGCTGGGCTGGCGACGCCCAGCCCGGCCTGGCCATCTAGAGGTGTGAAGAGGCCAGCCCAGAAGCAGAGGAGGGCCAGTGCACCAGCGGCAACTACCACCGAGGGAGAGGACCGTTGGTACACTGTGCTAGAGGATGATGTGGAGCCACTTCCACCAACATTTCGACCTAAAAGGCAGCCAGGCCCTCAGCTGGACATGACTGGAAAGTACAGCCCCCTTCATCTTTTCCAGATGCTTTTCTCCATGTCAGTTCTTGGTTCGCTGGTGTCTAACACCAACAAGTATGGAGCTAAGAAGCAAGCAGGCAAGAAAGAGGCATGGAAGCCCATTTCCATCCAAGACCTATACTGTTACATCTCACTGGTCATTTACATGGGGCTTGTGAAGTTGAAAAACCTGAAGGACTACTGGAGAACATCAACACGCTATCAACTGCCTTTTCCCACCACTGTCATGTCTTTTAACAGGTTTCTGACTATCTCGTGGGCGCTTCATATCAGTGACCCACAAGCTGACTACGACAATGAGAAGAAGAGAGGCACAGCAAGCTTTGATAGGCTCTTCAAAATCAAACCTCTCTACTCCAGCATTGTTGAGGCCTGCAAGACCCATTTCCGCACGCCCAGAACCTGTCCATAGATGAGAGGATGGTAGCCTCAAAGGCTAGAATTGGCCTCAAACAATATATGCGGAACAAGCCAACAAAAAGGGTTATAAACTGTTTGTTTTGGCCGATTCTGTGTGTGTTTAAACTTGGATTTATTTTGTTTACGAGGGGAAATCTATCTCAGCCACCGGCACAGCAAGCTTTGATAGGCTCTGCAAAATAAAACCTCTCTACTCCAGCATTGTTGAGGCCTTGTCACGGATTCTGCCGAGGCTGCCCCTCCTCCTTGCTCGGGCAGGCTTCGGCGTTCGTCGTCACCGGAGTACTAGCTGCTGCCGATCTATGTTCTATGTTTCTATGTTCTACCTGTTGTTGTCTGATTGTCTCACACCTGTTTCCCATCAGGCAATTACTCCTTCCCTATTTAACCCGGTGGCTCCCATTGTGTTTTGTGCGTGTTTGTTATTCGTTTCGTGTGTCGTTTGGTGAGCGGGTTTACGCCTCCCTGTGTGGAGGTATTTTGTATTTGTTTCTTTACTTGTTAGTAAAGTATGTTTTCATTGAGTTCTGTGTCCTGCACCTGACTTCGATCCACCGCATTACACTGACACTCGTGACAGAAATACGCACCACCATGGAGTCAGCAGGTACAGCCAGTCTGTCCGGATCGATGTATAGGTTACAGCTTCCTCCTGAGTATCGTATTAACCCCTCGTTCCATGTGTCTCTCCTCAGGAGGTATTTTGTATTTGTTTCTTTACTTGTTAGTAAAGTACGTTTTCATTGAGTTCTGTGTCCTGCGCCTGACTTCGATCCACCGCATTACACTGACACTCGTGACAGGCCTGCAAGACCCATTTCCGCATGCCCAGAACCTGTCCATAGATGAGAGGATGGTAGCCTCAAAGGCTAGAATTGGCCTCAAACAATATATGCGTAACAAGCCAACAAAAAGGGTTACAAACTGTTTGTTTTGGCCGATTCTGTGTGTGTTTACACATAGATTTTTTTTGCTTACGAGGGGAAATCCATCTCAGCCACCGGTAAGGGACTTAGTTATGATTCTGTTGTGGAATTATTGGAATTCCACTGCTGGGGTCGGGCTACAAACTGTTTGTGGACAACTTTTACACAAGCCCTTGTTGTGGACAACAAGAGCATGGGAGGTGTGGACCTGTCAGATGAGCTGATAGGCTACTACAATGTTCTCCACAAGACAATGAAATGGTACAAGACATTGTTCTATCACTTCATCGACATTGCTGTGGTGAATGCATTCATCCTCCAGAAGGAAATGGCTAAGAGCTGTGGACAGACCCCCATGACACAGCTAGCCTTCAGAGAGCTGCTCATCTAGGAGCTTGCTGACTATGGCACAAAGTCCACTGCAGCACCTTCTGTCCCCTCTACCTCTGTCCCCTCTACTCCTGCCATCAGTGGTGTTCACCTGCCAAAATGCATAACTGCAGACCTGAATGTGCCTCAGGGCCAAAAGAGCACAGCAGGGAGGCGTTGTTGTACTCTGTGCCACAATAAATCTCCCATCACCTGCACTACTTTTGCTGTTATCCTCTGCTTCACAGCAGAAAGAAACTGTGCTATGGGACTTGGCATCAGCAGCACAATCTTGTGTAGAGGACTGTGGGTGTTCTAAATACTCTAATTGTAAATAGTGTTTAAATAGTTATTTTTTCACTTTGTGTGTGGTTTGTGGTGTGTGCACTTATGACATTAGATCAGTGTTGGCTGCTAACTTGGCCCTTATCTTAAATAGTTCACTTCTGTGTTGGGAGGCATTGGATCAGCGTTCTCATCACGTCTCCTGTTAGTACCTTTGATGTAGGGAAGCTAATGATCCATCATGTATGACATTCCTGGGAGTGTGTAAACTAGAATTTTTTATTACCATAGCATTTTTGTATGTTCTCTATAGTTATGTACTTGAAAATGTATCAATTGACCAATTCGGCCACTTGGGAACATTTGGGCAAACTCGTGAGGGACACCTGGGAGACTTCATACTAAATATTATGTAGCTCTCTCATTCTTGAATATATCAGTCTGAAACTTTGTACACACACTGTTGCCCTGTTGTGGACAACAACTATATTATCCTGTCCTATCTCAATGTATGGCCTTTCTTTTGCATTTCAAAGATGATGCAACAAAAATAGAAATGGCATGTTATTTTGTTTAAAAAATATATTTTGCCAGATCTATTGTGTTATATTCTCCTACATTAATTTCACATCTCCACAAATTTCAAAGTGTTTCCTTTCAAATAGTATCAAGAAGATGCATATCCTTGCTTCAGGTCCTGAGCTACAGGCAGTTAGATTTGGGTTTTAGCAGGCTAGCTAGTTGTTGTGTTATTCAGCTAGCAATAATAGTTTTTACTAACACTAATACATTAGCTAGTGTTTAGCTACATTGAAAGCTAAACACTAGCTTACTAACGTTAACATGCTGGGTGTGTCTCACATAATACCCCTGGGGTATCGATACCCTGAAACAAGTTCCAGGGAAGATTATACCATCGAGCCTAGTTAGCTAGCGAGTAGCGACCAGCTTTAGGTAGCTAGCAAGTCAAGGTTAGAAAACTTACATGCTAGCTAATCCCCCAAAACTCAACAGAATGCATAGAAAGTATATTCTGTAGATGGTAACTAGCTAGCTGTCTAGCCTAGTTGGTAGGCCTAACAAAAACGCCAGAGAAGCTAACATTAGCTAGCCAGCACTAAGCGAGCTAGCTGGCAAACACTATCTAGATAACTACCTATGCTAAATCTTCTAGCAGATTTCATGTATACAAAAAAGCAAAACAAGTTGCATGGAAAACTTACTTTTTATCTCCTGTGTTGATGTTTTTGTCTTGTCTACAACACTTTGTTTATTTCGCAGCAATCTCTCATGTCTGGATTTTGCACACTGACCTTCTTCTAGACCTGTTCTTTGCGCATTGTCACATGACGTCAGTATCAACAAATGTAGGCCCGTCCAAGGTTGTTGCTATTTCAAGCATGTTGCGCAAATGGGTAGATATTGACATGATGCCTTAATTCCTGGGATAAATAAATAATTGCACCAATGAATCCCATCCAAAAGTGAGAATGTTCCTCAACAGTGAAACCGCAAGGTTACAGTTGAAGTTGGAAGTTTACATACACTTAGGTTGGAGTCATTAAAACTAGTTTTTCAACCATTCCACAAATGTCTTGTTAACAAACTATAGTTTTGGCAAGTCGGTTAGGACATCTACTTTGTGCATGACACAAGTAATTTTTCCAACAATTGTTTACAGACAGATTATTTCACTTATAATTCACTGTATCACAATTCCAGTGGGTCAGAAGTTTACACACACTAAGTTGACTGTGCCTTTAAACAGCTTGGAAAATTCCAGAAAATTATGTCATGGCTTTAGAAGCTTCTGATAGGCTAATTGACATAATTTGAGTCAATTGGAGGTGTACCTGTGGATGTATTTCAAGGCCTACCTTCAAACTCAGTGCCTCTTTGCTTTACATCATAGGAAAATGAAAAGAAATCAGCCAAGACCTCAGAAAAATTATTGTAGACCTCCACAAGTCTGGTTCATCATTGGGAACAATTTCCAAACGCCTGAAGGTACCACGTTCATCTGTACAAACAACAGTACGCAAGTATAAACACCATGGGACCACGCAGCCGTCATACCGCTCAGGAAGGAGACGCGTTCTGTCTCCTAGAGATGAACGTACTTTGGTGCGAAAAGTGCAAATCAATCCCAGAACAACAGCAAAGGACCTTGTGAAGATGCCTGAGGAAACAGGTACAAAAGTATCTATATCCACAGTAAAACGAGTCCTATATCGACATAACCTGAAAGGCCGCTCAGCAAGGAAGAAGCCACTGCACCAAAATCGGCATAAAAAAGCCAGACTACGGTTTGCAACTGCACATGGGGACAAAGATTGTACTTTTTGGAGAAATGTCCTCTGGTCTGATGAAACAAAAATAGAACTGTTTGGCCATAATGACCATTGTTATGTTTGGAGGAAAAAGGGGGTGGCTTGCAAGCCGAAGAACACCATCCCAACTGTGAAGCACGGGGGTGGCACCATCATGCTGTGAAGGGTGCTTTGCTGCAGGAGGGATTGGTGCACTTCACAAAATAGATGGCATCATCAGGAAGGAAAATTATGTGGCTATATTGAAGCAACATCTCAAGACATCAGTCAGGAAGTTAAAGCTTGGTCGCAAATGGGTCTTCCAAACGGACAATGACCCCAAGCATACTTCCAAAGTTGTGGCAAAATGGCTTAAGGACAACAAAGTCAAGGTATTGGAGTAGCCATCACAAAGCCCTGACCTCAATCCTATAGAAAATGTGTGGCCAGAACTGAAAAAGCATGTGCGAGCAAGGAGGCCTACAAACCTGACTCAGTTACAGCAGCTCTGTCAGGAGGATTGGGCCAAAATTCACCCAATTTATTGTGGGAAGCTTTTGGAAGGCTACCCGAAACGTTTGACCCAAGTTAAACAATTTAAAGGCAATGCTACCAAATACTAATTGAGTGTATGTAAACTTCTGACCCATTGGGAATGTGATGAAAGAAATTAAAGCTGAAATAAATCATTCATTCAATTTTTACCAGGATTAAATGTCAGGAATTGTGAAAAACTGAGTTTAAATGTATTTGGCTAAGGTGTCTGTAAACTTCCGATTTCAACTGTACATGATGGAATAATAGTTTGTCTTTTAAGTAATATGCCATTTAGCAGATGCTTTTATCCAAAGCGACTTACAGTCATGTGTGCATATATTTTTACGTATGTAAAAAGTGCATTTAGTGCATTTATAAATCATTATTCAACCAATAGGCTTACAATTTGGCAAGCACGAATGACTATCTCACAATTTTAACCATAACTGTTTATTAATGTGTCACAATTTTAACCATAACTGTTTATTAATGTGTCTACATTTTTTTATTGATAATTAAAGAATTTGACCCATTTTCAAATATACCGTTAATTGATTTAACAATTTAAAGTATTTTTGTATATGTTTTTGCCATTGGGCCTGGGTATCAGGCTCCAGAGCCCTTTAATGCAGATTTGTATCAATGAGGTGGTCAGTTTTAAATTGGCTAACACTTATCACATGGTTTGGGCAGGCTGAAATATGGTGCATTGGGATATATGGTTGGGATGCTATCGGAAACTTCAATATTTGTAACAAGCATGGTAACAAGCATTCGTTGTTACACCTCTGTAATTACAGACTGCAATTACCACCAGTTACATGTTGTTATTACAGTGTAACTATGTATTAATGCAATTAATTACAATACTTGTATTAAGGACCCCTTAAATTGAAGTGTTACCAAATTGGGTATTCTGTTAAATACACCTATTTACATTTGGAATTCATGAGTGCCAGTTGTGTGTATAACTGTGAATTTTAAATCATCAAAGGTTAACATTATTATTATAGTATTTAAAAATGTGGACTTATACCTTAATAATACTGAAATGTTCAGAATGAGTACACACCACAGTATATTTCTATAAAGATCTCTACACTCACTGAGTGTTTCATATGCGACCTCTTGCCTATGAGAGAGAGAGAGAGAGAGAGAGAGACCTGCCAGAGGCTTTAGACATCGAACATCTCATTTCCCTAAAACACACTTTAATTAAACAAAGGACCATGAAAAGAGGAAAATGGAAAAGGGGGGGGGGGCTGTCATAGAACTCCCTGTGTGCGGAGGAGTTCATTTATATTTACAGACCCTGCAGTGTTTCCAGACCTTATTATAGTCTGTGTCCCAAAAGGCACCCTATTCCCTACAATGCATTACTTTTGACCAGAGCCATATGGGGCTGGTCAAAAGTAGTGTACTACAAAGGGAATAGGGTGCCATTTGGGATATGGACATTGTCTCTGGTTCTACTCTCCAGCACTACAAGGAACCAGGCTGTTATGGTCTTTAGTACTACCAGTAACGAGGGGGATGTGGCCCCTGTAGAATGGTTACATAGTAGCAGGGACTGCTGGTATAGCCCTGGCCCCAGTGTCGGCCTACTTGACCCTGGTACATGGCGGTGGTGGTGCTAACATGCACAGGACCAAGATACTGAGTAGTACCTGTTTAACTCACTCTGTCGTGTTCAGCTATTACCTGATTAGATTGAGTGTCAAATGTTTGTCTCTTTTCAGACACAGTCATATGCTTAATTTAACACACCAGCATGCAAGGTGCAGGAGGCATACCACACACACACACTCATGCACACACGCACGACGCATGCATGCACGCGCACACATCCCAGCCACTCTGGACCCACTCCAATTCGCATACCGCCCCAACAGATCCTCAGATGACGCAATCTCTATTGTACTCCACAATACCCTTTTTTACCGGGACAAGAGGAAGACCTACGTGAGAATAATGTTCATTGACTATAGCTCAGCATTCAACACCATAGTGCCCTCGAAGCTCATCACTAAGCTAAGGACCCTGGGACTGAACACCTCCCTCTGCAACTGAATCCTGGACTTCCTGATGGACCGCCCCCAGGTGGTAAGGGTAGGCAACAACCCATCTGCCACGCTGACCCTCAACACGGGGGCCCCTCAGGGGTGCGTGCTTAGTCCCCTCCTGCACT